ATCTTCTGTAGATGTCTCATTCTTGTATATCTTCTGTAGATGTCTCATTCTTGTATATCTTCTGTAGATGTCTCATTCTTGTATATCTTCTGTAGATGTCTCCTTCTTGTATATCTTCTGTAGATGTCTCATTCTTGTATATCTTCTGTAGATGTCTCATTCTTGTATATCTTCTGTAGATGTCTCATTCATGTATATCTTCTGTAGATGTCTCATTGATGTATATCTTCTGTAGATGTCTCATTCTTGTATATCTTCTGTAGATGTCTCATTCTTGTATATCTTCTGTAGATGTCTCATTCATGTATATCTTCTGTAGATGTCAATGTTTAGTGTACCATACTTCTTCTACCTCTTTGTCTTCTTCTTTTCTTCTTAGTATTCACTGGTTATAAACTTCAGCTGAAAGTTCTGGTCATTCATCCACTTTTGGATTTTGATCCTGGGTTTTGCGTGCACATCCATTTTATAGATCTGACAATTGTATACAGACTGTTGGTTCCTTGCATTTCAGGTAGAAGCACTCTGACCTTGAAAGAAAGGCCCTTAACAGTTGCTTCTTAAATGTAGCCCTGGAACCCACATGAGGTGTACCATATTTGACTTTAGGCGCATAGAGGGGTACATGTGAGAAGTTGATACAGTCTTGGAACTGGACTTTAGGCGCATAGAGGGGTACAAGTGAGAAGTTGATACAGTCTTGGAACTGGACTTTAGGCACATAGAGGGGTACAAGTGAGAAGTTGATACAGTCTTGGAACTGGACTTTAGGCGCATAGAGGGGTACAAGTGAGAAGTTGATACAGTCTTGGAACTGGACTTTAGGCACATAGAGGGGTGCATGTGAGAAGTTGATACAGTCTTGGAACTGGACTTTAGGCGCATAGAGGGGTACATGTGAGAAGTTGATACAGTCTTGGAACTTGACTTTAGGCGCATAGAGGGGTACATGTGAGAAGTTGATACAGTCTTGGAACTTGACTTTAGGCGCATAGAGGGGTACATGTGAGAAGTTGATACAGTCTTGGAACTTGACTTTAGGCGCATAGAGGGGTACATGTGAGAAGTTGATACAGTCTTGGAACTGGACTTAAGGCGCATAGAGGGGTACATGTGAGAAGTTGATACATTCTTGGAACTGGACTTTAGGCGCATAGAGGGGTACATGTGAGAAGTTGATACAGTCTTGGAACTTGACTTTAGGCACATAGAGGGGTACATGTGAGAAGTTGATACAGTCTTGGAACTGGACTTTACGCACATAGAGGGGTACATGTGAGAAGTTGATACAGTCTTGGAACTGGACTTTAGGCGCATAGAAGGGTGCATGTGAGAAGTTGATACAGTCTTGGAACTTGACTTTAGGCACATAGAAGGGTGCATGTGAGAAGTTGATACAGTCTTGGAACTTGACTTTAGGCACATAGAAGGGTGCATGTGAGAAGTTGATACAGTCTTGGAACTTGACTTTAGGCACATAGAAGGGTGCATGTGAGAAGTTGATACAGTCTTGGAACTTGACTTTAGGCACATAGAAGGGTGCATGTGAGAAGTTGATACAGTCTTGGAACTTGACTTTAGGCACATAGAAGGGTGCATGTGAGAAGTTGATACAGTCTTGGAACTTGACTTTAGGCACATAGAAGGGTGCATGTGAGAAGTTGATACAGTCTTGGAACTTGACTTTAGGCACATAGAAGGGTGCATGTGAGACGTTGATACAGTCTTGGAACTTGACTTTAGGCACATAGAAGGGTGCATGTGAGAAGTTGATACAGTCTTGGACTCTGGGGTGGCTTGTTCAAAACTAGGAATATTATAGTTTCTTTTAAAACCCTTTTAGATACCTTACTAGAGATTTATAGATCTGTTAATCTGCAAAGATATATTATGTAAAGATGCTACCATATGCAATACATATTTATCTACTCATAGACACAGATACTGTCACACCAGATAAATATGTATCTGCTTATAAGTAAACGTTTCTTGGCATGTGATAAATAATAATACTTTCATACACAAAGGTACTGTAACGTCTGTTGAATATTTATCCTCTTAAGGCTAAAGCCATCAAATATGAAGTCAGTGCAGAATTAAGAGCGAAAAGTGACAACAAAATTCATATTCTGTTTAAATCACCGCTAATTACTGGCATCGTAAGGGCTAATAGGCTGGAATCTTTGGGACATATAGAGAGAATGCCAGAAAACAAGAAAATAGAGATTAAAAACAGCATGCACAAAAGAGTTTAAGGGTTAAAGACCATGAGGCAGACAAAAAAGACAGTGGAGAGACAATATACAGGCAAACTTACAAACACTTAGAGTCACCAACTGGAAAGAGAATGCCGGTCATAGAGATGAATGGAGGAGGGTGATATCTGCAGCAGTGAACCTCAATGGCTTGGAATGCTAAAGAAGATGAAGAAGAAAGCAAAGAAAATTTCACTTTTTTATGAATATTTATCTTCCCCCCTTTTCCAGGTCACATCTTATAAATATTTATGTACTCACAGGCAATGAGGTCACATCCGATAAACAAAAACAGCCAAAGGAGACCAGAAAAGAGAAGAAGGTTAAAGAAGATGTTAAAGAAAGGAAAAACAAGGGAAAAGACAAACATTCCAAGGTGAAAGGTGAAGGTATGTGTCTATCAATTTGTTTTCCACAGCATGAGAATTTGCTTTTTATGTTTCATTTGACGATATTTTTTTGTCTTCACACCTGGAACATTGAGACATCTTACAGTCTTTCTCAGTCTGTCTTCCACATCTGTAACATTGAGACATCTTGCAGTCTTGCACAGTCTGTCTTCCACATCTGTTAATCTGAGACATCTTGCAGTCTTGCACAGTCTGTCTTCCACATCTGTTAATCTGAGACATCTTGCAGTCTTGCACAGTCTGTCTTCCACATCTGTTAATCTGAGACATCTTGTACACTCTGTTGTCCACAAATGTAGCATTGAGACATATGACAGTATTGTTTACTGCTTTCCTCTCCTCCAATCGGCTGTAGAGGTACCTTAAACAATTATCAGTTATGTACCATCTTCAAAATAAAGACTGACTTAATGAGTATTCAACGCTGTCTGTTCTGTGTTCTGATAGTGCCCTCATACAATCTTCCATTTCATCTATTGTTGTTGTCCAGCTGGCAAGGACATGTGACATTGATTAGTATTGTTAGTCAATATATTATTCTTACTCCACATTGGACCATTCAGTGCTCAAGTGTTCAGATCCCCTTCTCAGTAAATCCGGGAGGGTGTAGTGGCTGGCAACACCAGTGCTGTGTTGGTTTCTTATTCTTCTTTAGCTTCCGGCATAGTTCTCTTGTCTGGCCAAACTCCTTTTAACTTCTGGTCAGGATTGGAGAATCACAGTCACATGGTTCTCGCAAACCTCTTCAGTGAATTAATATATTGAAGAAGAATATATAAATGTAAGAGCAGGTTACCGTTGCATTTTTTCACCAGGGGATGATCTGTTTGGGAAGAGTGAGCGACAAGACGATGATGATTTCTTTAGCAAACCTGGAGGTTTGTTCTCCACTGGCAAGGGTCTGTTTGATGATGATGCTGATGCCGAGGAAGAGGTTGGTTGAGTTGTCCTGTTGTCATTACTTGATCCGAGACAGCATCGCTGTGAGTGTTACAGGTTCATCATCATGTGCCATGTTGTTCACCATCTGATATAATCACCATTATCTAGATCAGTGTTCCTCAACATATTTAAAGCCGTAGCACACCAAAACAGGGGACATTGTTTCATGGCCCACCAAAACAGGGGACATTGTTTCATGGCCCACCAAAACAGGGGACATTGTTTCATGGCCCATCAAAATAGGGGACATTGTTTCATGGCCCATCAAAATAGGGGACATTGTTTCATGGCCCACCAAAACAGGGGACATTGTTTCATGGCCCACCAAAACAGGGGACATTGTTTCACAGCCCACCAAAACAGGGGACATTGTTTCATGGCCTACTAAAACAGGGGACATTGTTTCATGGCCCACCAAAACAGGGGACATTGTTTCATAGCCCACTAAAACAGATGCAATTTTTGTGCTGCTAACCAAGTACAGAATCAAAAGCACATATATGTAGCATTTTATTTGTATTTGTGAAATCCTATGTCAGGTACAGTTGTAATCCTCATTCCCAACTCAGAGTGGACTACAAACAGGTTACATAACTCAACCCAGACTGGACTGCATACAGGTTACATAACTCAACTAAGACTGCATACTTTTAACATAACTCCACCCAGACTGGACTGCATACAGGTTACCAAACTCAACCCAGACTGGACTGCATACATGTTACATAACTCAACCCAGACTGGACTGCATACAGGTTACATAACTAAACCCAGACTGGACTGCATACAGGTTACATAACTCAACCCAGACTGGACTGCATACAGGTTACATAACTCAACCCAGACTGGACTGCATACAGGTTACATAACTCAACCCAGACTGGACTGCATACAGGTTACATAACTCAACCCAGACTGGACTGCATACAGGTTACATAACTCAACCCAGACTAGACTTAACCCAGCCCAGACTGGACTGCATACAGGTTACATAACCCAACCCAGACTGGACTGCATACAGGTTACATAACCAAACCCAGATTGGACTGCATACAGGTTACATAACTCAACCCAGACTGGACTGCATACAGGTTACATAACTCAACCCAGACTAGACTGCATACAGGTTACATAGCTCAACCCAGACTGGACTGCATACAGGTTACATAACTCAACCCAGACTAGACTTAACCCAGCCCAGACTGGACTGCATACAGGTTACATAACCCAACCCAGACTGGACTGCATACAGGTTACATAACCAAACCCAGATTGGACTGCATACCGGTTACATAACTCAACCCAGACTGGACTGCATACAGGTTACATAACTCAACCCAGACTAGACTGCATACAGGTTACATAGCTCAACCCAGACTGGACTGCATACAGGTTACATAACCCAACCCATAGTGGACTTAACCCAGCCCAGACTGGACTTAATCCAGCCCAGACTAGACTTAATCCAAACCAGAGTGGACTTAACCCAACCCAGAGTGGACTTAACCTAACCCAGAGTGGACTTAACCCAGCCCAGACTAGACTGCATATAGCTCACATAACCTAAGCCAGAGTGTACTACATACAGGTTACATAACAACGGTGCCCTGATAGAACTGTTTTAGGTGCCTGAACTGGGTTTCTGAGATTTGTACCGGTTTGATTCTCGTCCTTGAGATGGTAATCCTACAGAATGCCATCCTGGAAGAGAACAAATACCTACCTGACCCAGTTACATAATTAGGCAGAAATTGTTGTTGTCTGGTTTTCTCATCCATTTTCTTCACTTGAACCCATTGAAAGTGGATTAAAACTTATTTAAAAGCTTATTAAAAAATCTATTTAAAACAAAATTCACAACATCTATTTATATACTTTCTAAAACCCATTTTAAAAAGCACTAGGATTGTGTGAAGGATTCAGGGGAAGGTAACTGTAAATGATGTTTTCTTTGCTTCAGGGAGATCTGTTTGGAGACGTTGAGAAAGCACCAAAGAAATCACAGAGGAAGCAGTCTGTCGAGAGAGATGATGGTTCCATATTGAGTGATGAGGCAAAAGATGAAGACGAAGAAGTTAAAGGTGAGAATAAAATATTTTCTTAATTATATGACAGTTGGTAAAGTTTATCATGGGGACAAAATTAGTACTGTTTATGTAAGACTGAAAGAAAATTATTATTAGAAAAATCAGGATTGTTTATGTAAGAATAAATAAGATTTGTCATGTAAATGATCAGAGATGCGGTGTAAGAATGAATGAGATTTATCTCATGAAAAATCAAAGGTGTTTATTTATGAATAAATGAGATTTATCTTGTGACAGATCAGGGATGTTTATTTATGAATAAATGAGATTTATCTTGTGACAGATCAGGGATGTTTATTTATGAATAAATGAGATTTATCTTGTGACAGATCAGGGATGTTTATGTAAGAATAAAGGAGGTTTATCTTGTAAATGATCAGGAGTGTTTATGTAAGAATAAAGGAGGTTTATGTAAGAATAAATGAGGTTTATGTAAGAATAAAGGAGGTTTATGTAAGAATAAATGAGGTTTATCTTGTAAATGATCAGGATGTTTGGTAACCATATCTCCCACACTTACATTTATCTAGCAGACGGTAGCCGAGTATAAAATCTCCTATATTTATGTTTGTCAGGAAAAACCACTGTGGAAACGCGACCAAGAACAAAAAGTGGGAAACTCTTACCAAAAGGAGCAGTTTCGGTGTTTGGCCCAGGTTCTGGTAAGTGAATCCTTGACATGCAGTAGGCACATGTTGGGTCAATGAACTTGTTTGAAAAATTTTGCCGGCACATTTATAATCATAAGTTCGACATCAGACATGTTGCTGTAACTTTGAATATGGGGTTTATTTGTGTATTTGTGGTAGAATACAAGCTCACACAGCTGATTAATTCCTTGGTGTGTGTGTGCGATCATGTATTTTGTGTGTGTGTTGTATGTGTGTATTTTTGCTCGTATAAAACAACACTTTAAGTATGTGTAACTCAGTATAGACAAGAAAGGCATATGATGCTGTCTCAGGAGAGAAGAAGAGAGGCTAAAGATGCCTTACAACACAGGGCTACAGCTCTTCACTGGGACTGTCAGAGTATCTTCTTTCAGCTTTCAGAGCCAACAACAGCTTTTTATGGAAACTCTCAGAGTGTCATTATAAGATTTGTTTAGTCTCTCATGAGGTCACTGGCTGGAGAAAACTTTGTCACAGAAGATGTTTTTAGCTTTGGAAAAAAACATGTTCCTTTGAATCTGGAGGTGAGAAAAAGAAGCTGGAATTGGATAGGACACGCATTGAGAAAGCCTAAAAACACTATTAACTTTAATGTCCTTGACCTAGAACCCACAGGGTCAACAGAATAAAGACAGAACATAAGTCACAATGGGATGGGAATTAGAGACTTGTGCGGGTTCTAGGACCCCATTGTGGGGGAAGAGGGGGAGTAGACCCACTGCCTGCCTAACATGCATGTTGTACAAGGCACGTAATTAGGGGTGTACTTCGAAGTCAGAGTGCATCTGCTTGAGAGGCATACAAATAAGCCATATCTGTAAAACTGATGTGCACACAAAACTCAATTTATGGAACTAAATCAAAGTCTAGAAGTGGACGAAGTACCAAAACTTTCCACCGGAATTTAAAGTCAATCAATGCGAAGAAGAAAAATTAGAGTTACCTGCCCACGATAGCAAAGAATAGGATGACTTGATGTGAGTTGATTGAGGACCTATGTCCCATTGGGGAAAAAGGACAGAAGAAGAAGATTTTCTGGAGCAGCAGCTCATTTGGTATGCAAGTAACCTCATGGGCTCGTACTATCCAGTGTTAGATGAGATCATGTTTTATCTGTGGATGATAACATCAGAATTTGTGTATTCTTCAGGTGAGGATTTTCTGGCCTCTGTCAAATCGGACACGTCTGATACTCACACCGTTATCAAACCTACAGCGAAACCTGCGGCAGCTCCTGTCAAATCTGCTGGGGAAGGGGGATTATTTGATGATAATGAGGAAGATGATGATTTGTTTGGAGGTGTTCCTCGCACGACAGAGGTCATCAAGACAGAGGTCATCAAGAAAGGTAGAGTTTCCTCTCTGCCTAAAGTAATCTAGTGTTTTATATTGTTACCTATTCTTACGAGTTTAAAAAAGACTGCCTGTTGATTTTGTCGCCCATAAAAGAAACAACAAATAGTAACACTTTAACCTACCATGCATGCCACAATAGGCCAATAAACAGCCAGTTGTTAAAAAGTTGCAAAATGCAGCCAGTCATGAAGAAGTCTGTAAATGGCCTGGTATCAGTTGTTTGATAGTTTTGAACCCCATCCCCATATGGGACGAATTTTTTGCTATTATTTTGAAGATCCACCCTGGTTGTTGCGGGGGCCCTAATTTAACCTAATGGTTGACCAGGGTTTCTGGGACTTCTCCGTGGGTGACCATGATCCGAATGGTGACACTTTGTGTCACCGGGTGTTTATCGCTCTGATGGGGTAAAAAGTCAGTCAGTTGTTTGTGGGCCTTTACTCCCTTTGTCGATGAAAGGCAACAGAAAAAAGAAAAATGTCAGTAAAAAAATTGTAGAGTTGATATGCAAAATGTCATCAAGGTGCTGATGTGCTAGTTTCTGGGTTTATACTGTTGTCAACTGGTCTACATCTCCATGCAGAAGTTCACAGGCAGACACTATTCTAGCAAATGGAGTTGGGATATCTCCCGTGGTCTTTTCTCTGGTGAGGCCTGCCAAGAATTTAAACTCTTCACCTTGCGAAAACACAAGAAAGTCACAGCTATTCGCCATGATTATGTAAACAGCACCCAAATGTGTGCTCTGTGCTGATCCTGGGGTAGAAGATCAAGTGTCTAACCTTCTCAGACTAGGGCAAATAAATTCTCAGAAGACATGTGTGCACAATGCACATGTCAAATATATCTAGGTTTTTAGAAATGAAAAAAAAAAATAAAGCAGATTGGATAGACAACAGCGCAGGCAAAATTGTAGAATGAGGAAATCTACCAACACACACAAACATGCACATATGAATTTTAGCACATGTGACTCTGCTGAAGGTACATGTAGATCCTCACCGTGCTGTTTAGTTTATGTGCTGTAACGAGATTATCCTTGTATGTTCTGTGGCAGAAGACTGAGCACTTATAGAGATACCTGTGACCTTTACAAACCGGCCACAACATATGGATATGTCTTGGTCAATTCTATCATCTTGTGACAACAATTATCATACGTTATTACAGTTAGTTACCATAATTCTATGACAGCTGCATATTCATATCAGTGCGTCAAATCAAACAGCCATGTGATACTTGTCAACATCTTTCTCTAGACATCCCAGGCACCAAATCCACAGCTGCCTCTAAGAAAGTGGATCTGTTTGCTGACGATGATGAAGAAGATGACTTATTTGGGTCAGTAACAGTTTCAGCAACAAAGAGGAAGTCACTCGGCAACATTGGGTTGATAGTCGAAGATGAAATGAAGGAGCAAACTCAATCAGAGAATGAAACACCAAGGAAAGCTGTAGTACCTGAGAAGAAGGTCAGAATATATATTTTCCGCATTGTTCTTTATTTGTCCTTTTGCATGTTGCAAACTATTAACCTAGTTCACACTCCACATACATGTACAACCACATACTCAAAATATTGAATTCTCCAGAAACTTGTATGGTTTGGCATTCCACACACTAAAGTAATCTCACAATTATATGACCTGCCATTCATATGGCATCACACTAAAGTAATCTCACAATTATATGACCTGCCATTCATATGGCATCACACTAAAGTAATCTCACAATTATATGACCTGCCATTCATATGGCATCACACTAAAGTAATCTCACAATTATATGACCTGCCATTCATATGGCATCACACTAAAGTAATCTCACAATTATATGACCTGCCATTCATATGGCATCACACCAGACTGGCAGCATAACCTTGCACTTCACATTTGTCTTATGTGATACTCCATACACACACACATTGACCTCACATTTTACACACATATATGATTTAACACTCCATATGCTTTTACAGACTCACCTTCCACACTTTTCTACAACTTCACACTCCACACACGTGTAAAACCTTATACTCTAGACACTGACATAACCTTACACTGCATACAGTAGCATGACCTCACATACTACACACATGTAAAACCTTACACTGCATACAGTAGAATGACCTCACATACCACACACATGTAAAACCTTACACTGCATACAGTAGAATGACCTCACATACCACACACATATAAAACCTTCTACTATAGACACTGGCGTAACCTTACACTGCATACAGTAGCATGACTTCACATACCACTCATTCACACAGTCAGTACTCCACACACATGACCTCACATACACTTTTATGATCTCACTTCACACACACTTGCATGACCACACATACTTACGTGACTCCAAGTTCGAACTCCACACACACTTACATGA